TATATATATATATACACATCTTTTTTATTTATTTATATAAATCACTTTATTAGGACTTCATCCACCTATCATACAATTTAATAGTTCAATCATATTAAGAAGATTGTACATTCTTGACCATAGTCCATTTTAGAACATTTTCTTTTTCCCCGTACTCACTGTTATTCATGTATTTTTTTCAATTATGGCAAAAATATACACAACAAAACATTCACCAATTCAACAACTTGTACGTGTACAATTCAGTGCCATTGATGATACTCTTCTTGTTGTACAACCATTATTATTATCCCTCTCCAAATTGTTCCACCACCATTAACATGAACTCAATGCCCCCTAAGGAATTACATCTGTAATGATACATCTAACTTATGTGTATAGAATTGGATATCGGGCAGCCATCTTCTGGACGGCTCTCAACCAGGGTGACTTAGTCCCTCGGGAGATATTTGACACTATCTGGAGACATGACTGTTTGCCTCCGCTGGTGGGGGTGCTGCAGGCACTAGTGAATAGAGGCCAGAAACCAAACCCACAGCCATTGAGTCGATTCCAACTCTGAGTTGGCCACTCAGTGATCCTGTGCATTAAAACCCACGAATTGCTCCTAAGAACAAGGAATGTGAGCCAGCGAGAGCCCTCTCATGATGAGCAGGGTTCCGGAGCTCCCAGGAGAGGGATGTGCTTGCTGCTCTTTGAGGAGATCTTCCACTCCAGCACTCGGTAATTTATGTGCTATTTACCACATGAAGACAGATGGTCCCAGTTTACAAGGCTATGTGTTATCTAGCCTTGTGAGCTAGAGTGCTTGCTATTGCTGGGCACTGTGCTAAAAGTCAAAGAGCCTTGGTGGCATAGTGTGGTTCAGAGTTGGGCTGTGATCCGCAAGGTCAGCAGTTCAAAACCCCCAGCCTGCTCCATAGGAGACAGACAGGCCTTTCTGCTCCCATACAGAGTTACCATCTGGGAGACCCACAGGGGTTGTTCCATAGGGCCAGTATGACATTCATCATCAGCTTGATGGCGTAAGTTTGGGCTCATATTCATAACCCAGGTTATTTGTTTAATTACAGGGGAGTACTCTGGATCCATTGTCAAGGGATCAGGCCAGGAGAAATGTTATAAAACCCCATGCGAACCTAATGCTTCTGACTCATAAAACTTCTGCTACAAACTAATAATTAGCCCTTGGATATCTTGTCTTTGGTAAGCTTACTGTGGACATGACATATAAGCAGGCTTGTAATCCCTGGTTTTAAAAGTTACCCAAGTAATTGCTTCTCTTCTTTGTTCATGTTCTTTTTTATAACACACGTGATGTGCACTTTGCATAACAAATTAAAGCAAAGATGTGTAACAATTTGTCCTCCTTCTGGTCCATTCCCATCCTGGGGAAACAATTCACGTCAGTGGGCCGGTCTGTATTGTTCCAGACCTCTTCCTGGCACTAACTGCATCCACGTTGTTCGTAGTTGAGCCCTGAAGACTGGCATGATGGTTGCTGGGATAACACCAACCACCTGGCTCCTAGAAGATTTATTCCGGGAGAAGAACCCAGGATCCCGGTAGCTCCTTATTTTTTGTGATCCTGGTCTCATCACAAGATTTTTGCCTAGGTCTCATCCTCCGAATTTCATTTAGTCTTGTCTCAACGCTGAAATCTAAAAAGGCGGAAAGCATGGGAAAAGACAGCAATGTGAAGAAAAAGCTCAAGATGTTTGTCATACATATTGTGTTACACATCAGATCCCACACTTTTCAAAGGATCCTGTATGCTAAAGGTGCTTGTATCTGTCGTTGCTGTGGATGTCTTGCTACATATTATACATATGTTAACCTAACCTCTGTGTCATCTTGCTCACACCCTCTTCTTCTAGAGTCTCCAAAGGCACAAGGATGCTGTTGGGTGGGCGACAGGATGTATAATGCTGAGCATGGCGGATAGATGATAAAAAAAGCAACAAGCAATGCTATCTTTCCAATTCCAGCCAAGACAGCTTTTAAGGGCCTGATCCAATAAGCCTTGGCAGTGTTGTGCTGTGTAATAGGTGTGGCTTGGCTCCTCTTGTTCCCAACCAAACGAGTGTGAAAAACTAAAAGAGTTCGATCTTTCCAAGGAAGGGGTTAGACTTGGCTTCCCTTTCTCCTCAGAATCCACTCATTTGTGTACAAGTCAGGGGGAGCTTGCAAAAGCTCGCCC